AAGGAGCAACAAGACGTGTTTTGCAGCAGTGGAAATGTGATTAGCAGCTAATTCAAAGATTAGAGGGATTTTTAGCTTGATAAAATCTTAATGTTGCAAAGATTATAGGTGGATTACATTGTCTGAGAAACGCAGGGTTCACTGAGTGAAGTCGTGGGTACGATCAGATAAACATGAGCTCCTCCAACATATCTCTGGGAGTTAAATCCTGATCATAAGAATGGTATTAAAGACAAAGTCAGTTATAAGTAGGCCAACATAACATCCTGCTGTCGCCAGCTTTTCACACGGTGACCTTCACTTCCTCTTGTGTTGTGCTGCCCTCTCCTGTTCACACAATCACTGCATCACATGTATTCCGCAGAAAAACATGTTTGCCCCTAAAAATAAACTGTTCAATGTTTTATATCCTGTTTTGTCTTATTAAAACCTTCTCCTCTTTACAAAAAATAAACTAAAAATGTTCATGAAGTCACCATGATTTCATTAAAGATGCAACAACCAAATAAAGAAATAAAACAGATTTTTTTTTTAAAAGAGCCTTAGTAGCAAAGCACATATATTTCTTTGCTCCTTCACAAACGTCACAGATATTTGACAAGAATGGTCTGTGCCTCGGCCACAGTGAAGAAGTACCCGGATGAAGACTGCAATGTAAACAACTAAATGGTGTATATGTGACCTACCGCACACTTTCCTGCCACACAGAGGAAAGTTTCATTCAGTCCACATGGAGTCCCATCAGTCGCCCGGTCTGACTGTTGCACATAGAATCTGAACCCTACGGCCCGGCAGTTCAGTTCACATTGGTGCTCCTCAGGAACTGAAAGGAGACAATAAAAAGTGATTTATGTGTTTGGAAAATATGTTGGTCTAAGCATTAAAACACACCAAAGGACTGTATGATCCTATCATAGATATCATATCATATATATCATATCATAGATATCTCATATGATGCATTGCAATGCAATACCATAACATAACCTAGTGTAACATAAACTAAGGCAAAGTATGGTATGGTTAGGTATTATATTGTTTCTGGTTGTACAGCAGTCCCTCACAGTTTGCTTTTTGTGGACTCGCTTTATCGCGGTTTTTCAAAATAAGATTGGACATGACAGACAATTGGCTGATTGATGGACGAGCCACAGGATCGGCATGGAATTTTTAATTTAAAATACATTATTTAAAATTATTTAGCACCTGCTGTACCTGTGTGCAGCCCACAGCTGCAGGAGAAGCTTCCTCCTGCAGCGTGTCATATCTC